CTGCTTGACATCTTTATTTCTCTTCTGCTGGTTTATTGCAGGTGAGTTTAAATAGCCTTGCCCGGACAAATGAGTGACATATAGTGACATCCAGTCAAAATTAGCATCATATCACCGTCCAATAGGGTGAGGCTCAGAGAAGGGAAGCTAATTTTTGACCAACTATCATACTTGTTTAACCACAAAAGACGTCAATGTTGATAACAGCCCTGAAAACCCTGGAAAACAATAAAGCAGAGGTGTGACAGAGGGCTGGATGTTTATAGCTGAGCTAATGAATTTGACCCAACCAAACAACATACAACAATGCAAACACAACAAATTACGTTAATTACAAAAAAATGAAATGCATAATTCACTACTAAAAACAACCACAATCTAAATCATAGTTACCACAGAAAGAAAGCACCTGTTCGCAGTTTACTGATATATGTACTACAGCGTCTCCAGCGCTTTCGAGCGGCAATGGCCGGCCGTGGCCCAACCCCACATTCCCCTGATAGGTGGAGAGTTGGCCCAATAGCCGTAGCGCCACCGTCCTGACGTCAGGACAGTGTTCAAATCTGGATCAGTTTTTATCAGATCCGTTGCAGCCCCGTTTTTAGAGATTTGGGTATGGAGGAAAATGGAGAGGGTTGTGTTTTCTGACACTTGGTGAGTTCCCTGGAACACCGGGGACACATATTCATGTATAAAAGACGTACAAAAGTGCATTTTGCATGATAGGTCCCCTTTAAATTGGCACAGCTGCACATGCAAACAGGTTCAGCCTTTTTTCCTACAGTCCTCTTAAAGTCACAGATTTTCACTTCACTTTCTACCTTAGATGAAATAAAAGAAAAATGCTCCAACTCTTAAAAGTTGAAGCTAAAAGGTTAGACCCACAGAGGGTTTCTCCACATGCATACAATTATATATCTAGTTTGATATTTACAACTTTTTAGCGTCACACAGCTTGGCAATGCAGACTTGGCAGAAGTAGCCAATTGCATCAAGTGAGAGGCGGGCTTTACTACTTAACCACTCCCTACCTGTGTTGATGCTGCTAGATTTGGTAGTTAGTTCCACAATGGCAATACAGACAATACTCCCCTTATTATATTTAATGCTGCTTCATACAACAGTTAAACCAGACCAGGAGGACAATAGGAACACAGTGATCAGAAAAACAACACAAATGTCAAATACTTATATACACTTTATTTATTCTATTTTCTCTCTCTAGGTAATGTGTGGATATACTCTATTTATCAGCCAAACTACAACAAGAATTCAACAGATGTGGATCCGTACTGCGACAGGACACCGTACCTGTTTGCTTTCTCGACCACCACCCTAGTCTACATCATCTTCATTTTGGGCGTCTGCTTTGTCTGCTCAGGTAAATGCAGATGTAGCTATGAGGCCAACACAGTCTCACGGCATGTCGTGTTATAGTCACGAAATTAATCTATTGATTCGTGTTCACCAACACGATTTCGCCATTCTTTTCGTGTCACACAGAACGATTTTAAAAGCAATGTAAATAATAACAAATTAGAAGGAAAAACAGATAAAAAAAAATACAGATTTCAGTATTCTGACACAGAACGATTTTAGAAGCAATGTATTTCTATTGGTAGTATGTTTCGTGCCTGCACCAAATAATAACAAATTAGAAGAAAAAAAAGATGACAAAAAATACAGATTTCAGTATTCAGGCTCTGAGCCCCATTTCTTTTCCTTGCGGACGGCAAAAAAACTCTGACATTATACAATTTAAAAGAAAAGGGATAGGGTTAGGCTTAGGGTAAGATATTGAGTAAGAAAATGTTTTTATGAACCACACAGCTTCCGGTCTTCCAAGACCCGACCGGACAAAAAGACGTGTTGCAGGCACGAAACATACTACCAATACCTGTGTTATTATCAGAAGTTACTGTAAACTGTTGAATAATGTAGTTCATCTACTTTTAGTTGTTGTTTAAATGTTTTAATTATGTTGTTTTTGTTTGTAGAAGTGCATCATTCCTTGATTTATTGTAAAAATGAATCTGAACTTTTTGATCTGTTATGATGATAAACTGAAGCAATTTCAAAATTAACCCAATTAACTGAGTTTTAAATCGTCCTACTTAGTTTATAAGGAAATTATGAAGAGGAACAAATTAAATGATTTGAAAATGATATCTATGTAGGTGCTGACGCTGTTGGTGGTTCTAGTGTTAACATACATTTAAATTAAATATGTTTAATGACAAATGCCATATACGATTTTCTTACCTGGAATCCTGCCTTTTTGAACAGACTTTTTGATTGAGTCCTAGCTACAGTATATTGTCTGCAGTTCTAAGGTTAATATTGATCTAATATGATTGTCATCGGTCTAAATTAGATTTCAAATGATTAACTGTGTATGTAATGAAGATCATAGTGTGGGTTGAATCCATTTTCATAACCACTGTCTTTTAACTGATTTAAATGGGGAAACTGGGCTTATTCATCAACATTTTGTATGACTTGACTTGACTTGCTTGACCTGAGCAATGACTTGACTTGACTTGCTTGACTCTCACCACAGTGACTTGAGACTTGCTTGATACTTGTAGGTCAAGACTTGAGACTTGCTCATGACTTGCACATGTAGGACTTCACACACTGCAATAACTTCAACACACCACTAGATGTCAGCCTAATGCTTTTACAGGAAGTAATGCTCCCAACATTAGCCGTGTTCACACCGGAGTACTTTTCACCGTACTTTTCGCTTTTAGTTCCGTTAGTACCCCTTATGTCGCGTTCACACCAAAAAGAGCACTTCATCCCGGGAACTTTTACCCCCATTTTTAGTGCCTGCTGAGAGATGGTACTTTCCTGGGGGAAAAAAGTGCCCCAGTTCTGATTGGCTGGGCGAATTGCAAACCACGCCCCGTAAAACTCTGAAATGTTTTGTAGAGCCGCCATTTTATTATCCTCGCATTAGCATTATTAGCATTAGCATTCACCCAAACGCAGAGAGACTAACTTATGGCAACACAAAATAAAACATGGGAGCGGTGGAGATGAGGAGGTGTCGGTGTTCTGGCGATTTACTCGGAAGGCTTCAGTAGACGCTGCTGGGAGTCCCAGCAGCGTCTACTGAAGCCAGTCCCCAACTCCGGGGACTTCCGGCCGGGGACTTCCGGCCGGGGACTCCGGGTGGCAGTATACGCCGTGAAGTTGTTTGCGGCCTGCCAGTAAACCCAAAGCAGAAGAAGACGAAGTGACGTCAGCGGCTCATTTGCGTAATCTTCCCTCAGGGAATTTATTCCGGTGTGAACGCGATCTGTACTAAATGCCCTGGGGTAATAAGTGCCGGGGCACTGAGTACGGCAAAGTACTTGGTGTGAACGTGGCTATTGAGACCAAATTTCTATTTGTGACCTCTAGGTCATGGTTGTTTCTCTTGAAGGAGGCATTACTCTTTACAGGAAAACCAATAAAGTGAGAAAAATGTATTTATTTATTGTCACATGTGAGACAAACAAATGTATGCTTTCAAATCAGGTCCAAACAACTCAATTTATCCCATTAGGTCTCGAGTATAACATCTACTCTTTGTTTGGTTAAATCAAATAGTATATTGTTGTTGCTGTTTTACCACACAACGTTAACATAAGTCCTGAAATAGTCTGTGAGTTATCTATTTTTTACAATGTGAAAGTATATTTGAAATATCACTTAATTGCTATATTGCAGATAGGTAATTGAGAAGAAAGAAAACACTCCTGTCTGTAGAGTGATCATCAATGATTACTTTTGCTGTTGTTGCAGGGAATTACATTGAAGGACACCTATTATGCCAAATCCACTTTTTTTATGTCAAATGTTTACACATCAACATGTCCCCTCTGTGTAAAGAGATTCTGAAACATTCAGGAAAAAAGATTCTCTCACTTTCTGTCCTGATCCATTTATATACAAACCTGTCTGAAAATGAGCTGATCAGATTTTGGCCACTTTATGATGTCATAACGATTTGTTGGCTTGTGTAACCATTAGCCAATCACCAACCAAGGTAACCCCCCCCCCCCCCCCCCCCCCCTTATCACCTGAATCTCCTCCTAGAGCACCATTGTGTTCTTTGTAACCAAATATCTCTCAGAGGGGCGTGGGGAGGGGCTCCTTATTTTCATCTAAAGTAACAGACAGAGAATCAGCACTTTTGAACCAGGGCTGAAACAGAGGGGATTATGGGATGCTGCAATGATCTGTTTGGTGTTTGGAGCCAAACACTTCAGAGACATGTTCAGTATATATCTGAGACTTATAATATATTGATGAAAAACAGTATAATAGGGGACCTTTAACAAATTAGCATAAACAGTTTTTTTTTAAAAACCTTTTTTACCACCACGGGTGTAAATGTGTGGGAGCGTTTGTGTTCTTGTCAAAAAGAGGGTGTGGCAGTGAGAGTGGCATATAACATAAATTATATAATAATGTCTAAAATCATGAGCAGACTCTTGAAGAAGGCATTATTTTACTCAACAGAGGGTCTTTCTCAAAGTCAAGGAATTATCCTTAAATGGCTTCATTTAAAGGAAGCTACATTCATCATTAAATTAAGAGTATTTTCCGACCAATTGTTGATTGTTGGAACAGTAGAAAAATACTTTTTCATTAAGGTCTTGATGGGTGTTGTGTTGTTGAGTGTCAGTGTCAACAGAGTCGGTTTGCTTTAAATCGAGAATAATGGCTGTTTATTCAAATGAATTACAATATCTAATTATTGCTCTCATTTGATATTATTATCAAAACTGACAATGTGGTAATGTGTGAACATTTCTCTATTTATGACCCCAGCTACCAGATACTCTACTTGTCTGTTATGGTGACCACTAACTTGAACTGTGTCCTATTGGACTTAAGTTGAACTTATTTTATGGATGATGATGATGATGACGACGACGACGACGACCGACGACGATGACAAATCACAAACTACCTTGCAGGGATAAATAAAGTTAGATCGGACTCAAAGAACTGGGGTGGTTTGTGTATTTAATGACATTAATATATCATCTGTGCGTTTTCATTTGTGTTTTATATACATTTTAACTGTGGGTTACTACTTCATGTATAAAGGAAAATACTAGAAACGAGATATAAAAATCACCTCAAGCACCAAAACTACATGATTCAGCGATGTGCATCTTTTATCACAGAAATAATATAATTTACATACAAAATACAAAATATAACACTTATGCACATGTACTGTTTTATAATAACTGTTCATGCATCATGTAAAAAAATTGTTTCGGGTATAACTCATCATATTTTCACACAAGCTACATGTTTTCAGAGAGATAGTCAGGGCTGTCCATCTGATTGGTTGGATGGGCTGTGATGTCAGCAGGGTTTGCTCGCGAGGTTGGCCAATGCTCTGGCGTGGATGGGTTTATAGAGGAGGGTGAAGCTGGAGGGGCTGAGGAGGCCGCTGCCCTGTGCGTCCACTTTTCCCATCAACACGTAGTTCCGGCCTGAACAGGAGGAAATAATTGTCAGAATGTGTCACAAACCAGGTTATTCTCAGCCACATCACAATATTCCTCATTTTCTATGAATACCATTTATGATTGGGATATATTGGCTAAATAAAAAATCACATTGTCTGCATAGAGTGAGACTTTGTGCTCTTTAATTTATAAGCCAAAATCATCATATTCCCCGTTAAGAGATTCAATATATCAGCATTTACTTTATTTCTTAACTTTATGCACTACAAGCTATATCTAAGTTTCTAACAGTTAAGCTGATTTTTTTTTACTTTATTTGAAGAATTGGTGTCATGTAGGGTTTAATTGATATCATTTTTTACAACATTAAGTACAGATTATACATGGTTTAATGCACAGTCATTGATTTCGTATCCTCTGTATGACTTATAGGGCTAATGCAGAATCCTCATCAGTTGACTAGTCAAGTTTTACCATTTGATATCAACTTTGAATACTTGACAGTTGAGGGTCACATTATAGTCTGTAAAAATGTTGCCTGAATGTGTGTTATATACACAAACGGACAGTATAGAAAGTACTATATGTAAATCTACTATACCTTTGAGGAGTCCGGGGCATCTCTTGCAGGTGGAGGTCAGTGTGACCGACATGAGGGGCCCTGATTTGGCGATGTTCAGGCGTCCTGCCTTATAGGCCTTGATTATGGACACCTCCACTGTCGATGAGCCCCTGGGACCAGTGGTCAAAGAAGTGATCTTACCCGTAATCACTAAAATAAGGCGAAATAAGAGAAAAATCCAAAAGAGAAAAGGCGTTTGTATGAGATTTGCTTTACAAAAGGCACACCCAAAACAATTATATTACAATAAGTTATGCTTGTGTTGTTGTGGGGATGTGAAGAATAGGGGGGCAGTTTATGTGGCTTACCAAAGTCATGAGGGCAGAAGCTGGATTGGAGAGTTCCTGTCCTCTTACAGGCTTGTGTACACAGTGGGTTCAGTGGTAAAGCTAAAGAAAACACACAAGTCAACAAACACAACATAAGCACATTCATTTGCTTCTCATCACAGGTGTGCACATATACTGTAGACTACATACATAAAAGCAGAGTGCAGATTGATAGCTTAAACAATTACTTTCACTTACGTTTCTTGCTCACAGCAGGCTTCTTTGTTACTTTCTTGATAACTCGAGGTTTGGGCGTAGCTTTAGGCTTAATCTTGGGTTTGGCTGTTGGCTTAACTCCACCCTTAGGGGTTGGCTTTAATGGTTTTACTCTAGGTTTTAAGGTGGGTTTGGTCTTCAGTGTAGGCTTTCGTATGGGTTTAACCTTGATGCTTGGTTTGAGCGTTGGCTTAATAATCTTAGGCTTGGTTGTTGGTTTGGTTCTAGGTTTAGGTGCAGGCTTTTTCACAGGTGCTTTAGGTGTGGGTCTAGCTGGTTTGGGTTTAGCCGTGGGCTTGACTGCAGGCTTGATGGTAGGTTTACGTGACGGAGGTTTCAGCGGTTTCTTTACCAGTGGTCTTTTGCCTGTTTTTTTGGTGGGTTTAGGCCTGAGGGTGGGTCTAGGTTTAGGGGTTGGTTTGGTGGGTTTGCTTGGCGCCAAGACTGTTCGTTGTGGTGGTGATGTGGTCTGAGGGCGATGGATGAAGTCTCCCCCTGCGGTTGGTGTCCTCGACCCGCGGGGCACACTGGAGTAGTGGGCCATGAAACCATCTGAGGTCACACTGAGGTCAGAGACAAACTGGACCAGGAGCTCATTCCCCTTTGTCACTATTGTTCTGTATAAAGGATGAGGAAATACAGACAGAAAACATGTAGGGAATGACATGAGGAGGAATAGTAAAGGGGAAAGGCGTGAAAATGCAGAACAAATATTGGGTTCACTCTTCGAAAAAGCAACTTTAAGCATGTTTTTTGCCCCTTTAAACATCCAGTATTCTCACCCTGGAGGCCTGTCTCCGCAGAACTTCCCAATTCGTCGCGTGTTATCCTTCTCTCCCCCGTTAAACAATGCCACATAGTCGTAGCGACAGTACGTGTCAGGCTCCAAGTCCAGCTTCACAAACTTCACCTCGATCACCTGGGGAAGAGGTGGGAATAAACACAAAACATGCCAGCACAAACTATGAAATATATGACGGGGAATGGTTGATGTGACCTGGTTTATTTTCATGAATCCAGCACAGTGCAGACATACAGTAAGTAGTGGTGGTGTAGGAGGAGAAGGGGCTGAATTCTGAAATACAGAAAGGGCATTTACTCTCTCCCTCGCTCTCACTTCTTTCCCTCTTTCCTTGCGTTCAATCTCTTGGCACACATGAACACACCTTCAGGCACTCAATGAAGTCTTTCATTTGAAATCCGTCATAAGACCGCTGTCACAGACCCCAACACACTCAGGGACCTGAAGTTGAACATTTCCTTTTGATGGGCCCCTTTACTACTATTTGTATTTCTCCTTCCCCTCCTTCATAACACACCTAGGATGAAAATCACCTTACAAGACATTTTCTTTTCCCTTTTGCAACAAGCTGCACGGCACTTTCGATGACCAGATTCAAACCTTCTGTACCCTAACAGCATTCAAAATTTGAGATGGCATATTGTGCTGTTAAGTTAGTTTTCCACTTTGAAGATGGAAGCTAGGAGACAAAACTAGCTAGCTAGCCTAAAAAATGTGTTTTAAGACATTTGCGCCTTTCCAACAATTAGCATTTGTTAGCTCGTTAGCTTGGCTGGCGTAAGGTCCGTTGATGGTTAGGGAACGATTACGCGTACATGCATTAAAACCCTCCCCACATTTAGGCTACTTCCATTTTTGTTTTGCTTACATTACTTGGTTCTACGGAGATGTGCCAGGAACAGCTGATGCCTGCTGGGTAATTAGAGTTGGGCCAGTTGGGCGTCTTGACAGAGCCCTGCGATTTCGTCAGACGTCCTCCACAGAACTGGTGTTCTTTGGGAATAAAGAAGAGGAAATGCTGATACACCACACTTTGACCTTTATCAAAAAGGGAATGAGGGTTGGTTCTTCACTGTGGTTCTGCATTTGGGGTAAACCAAACATATATACCTAAACTATGTGCAAAATGTTTTTATTTTAATGATGTCATTTTTACAGATTTTTGTGATTTGTTTATCCTAGAGCAGATTGTGTGGTGTTACGCGTCAACACCTTCCATATGTGGCTTCCCCGCGCTGAAGTAAGCAATAAAGCCTCTTCCTCCATTCGATTCGTCGGACACCATATCCAACATCATGGTGTTGGAGGTGGAGATGATTGCGCCGGGCCTGAACGTCCCACAGAAACGACCCAGCTTTTGCACCAATCGGGTGTGACCGTTGTAGACGTCCAGGTAGTCGTAGCGACAGGTAGGGTCGGCCTCCATGTCGTAGAGGCGGAAAGACAGCATGACGACATGACCCTCGGGGACCTGTAGGGAGCAACAGGAAACACTTTGAGGAAAGACCGCTAAAAAAGTTAGCTTTAGCCGCCGTCATGATCACAATTTTTGTTAAGATAGGTTTTAGATTTAATAAACTCTTTTATTTTTTGCAAGTTGCCAAATATACCAGTTATGTCAGACTGATTTTGAGGGAAATATGTAAAACGTAATGCACAAAACAAGATTAAAAAAAAAAAATTGTGTAATTGAGCTGCTATAAAATGCTTGGAGTCATGATTTCAAAAAGGTTGCTTATATATATTTCCAAAAATTAATATTGAGTGTGTATACAAATTAATTTAAAATCCAATGTTTGACTTAACCTGTTAATTTATCTAGGTAACCAAATACAAACATTTTTAATTAAATTATTATCTGTGAAAAGGGTTAAAAGGGGATAGTTGTTTGTGGTCCTGCAGGTGTGTCTCATTAGGCACTCTCAGCAGTGAGTGACGGGGCAATGCGTAATTGTGGGAAAAGGGGCAAAACTCTTCATCTGTAAATGTCTTTCTGTTAAAGTTGGTGTGTGTGTGGCGAAATATACATTTTGACTGTCAGCAGATATTAAGAAATATCAAATTAATACTTTCTTTGTTAATAGGTACTACCAGAACTTTGTATCAGTCCAGCTTCCCCTACGTTTACCTTGGCAGATGGTATGTTCCAACTAAGATGATAAAATGCCTTCAATGATGTGTCACAGGCAGTTTGCTGTTGGCCTTGCCCTTTGTGTGTGTGTTTGTTTGTTAAGCTTATTCTTCTAACTATGAAGCTGGGAAAGGGATTTAAATAAAATAGAACTAAACATACATTTAATATTTAGTCCCTGTCCACATCCTGTATGTTCATTTAGAACAAATGGAATAATCCAAAACTGAAACTGAGTGCAGCCTAGAAAAAGTCTCACTAGCCATTTATCGCTGGAGGCATGAATGAGAAAAAAGGCCCCTTATGCCACACTGTAATGTCCAAAAGACAAAAATAAACATTTAATATATATAAGTGAAACATTGAGCTTATAAGCCAAACAATTTGTCTATGGTTAGTTCAATAATCTTTTCTTGCTACTGTCTTGCTTGCTATGACCAGCAGCTAATGGTGGCTAATGTTAGCAAACATTTGACATAGTTGCTGTGTTACTTAGCTGCTGCTTGTGTAGCTAACATGAGTTAGTTTGCTGACTATGAATGTACGACAAACCTCATGCACTAGTAAGATGATGAAAGTGTTATTCATTCACCGTGGCAAGTCCAACAAAGCCACAGTGAACAAATTACAATTTTAGCCTTCCAAGACTTTCTTCCCATGATAAGTACTTTTTTTGTTTTAAAACTATTTTTTGTTGTTGTTAGAATTCAGTTCTATTTTGAACTATTTTGTTTGTGTGTCTTCATCTGAACTGGGGGATACCCACGATTTGTCAGGTGTTTTGCTTCGTCTTGCATATTCTATTCATATTTATACAGTACTTTTGTTCATCAGCTTTTGTACGTGCTACCAACAACACATTAAATCAATACATAATCTGACTCGAACTGGTCATATGATGATATTGGACGAACTGTTGTGAGTGTTTTGGTTAATGTACTGGTGTAGTGATTTAAAATGACTCACAGTAATGTACCAGGTGCATTTGGTGTTGGGTTTGTATGCACTGGGGAATCCTTCACTGGCCACGATGCCAGAGTCTGTGACCAGGTGGCCTCCGCAGAGGAAGACGGGCCTAAAAAGTATCACACAACCACCATCAACTGCATTTAACTTGCTGCATTGAAAGAAAAAAACGGCTTTACTGAGTATTGATGTAGAAAACACACACACACACACACACACACACACACACACACACACACACACACACACACACACACACACACACACACACACACACACACACACACACACACACACACACACACACACACACACACACACACACACACACATACTTTTACATACACGCTGAAAACCACAGGGGCACAGTCCGCCTCTGTTCTCAGAGTCTGGGGAGGTTCCAAATGAACTCTCCTAGTTTGTGTTTTCTTCTTAAAACCAAGCCAGGAAGACTGTCAATATATAGTATATGTGCTGTGAGCTTTCTCTACACACTTGCTGTACCACAGGAAAGTTGCCCACTCACGGGGAGTAGGTCCCACACACTTTGATAAACACAGATCAAAGAGGGGAAGGCCTCAACCTTTAATTTTGCAGCAGGCTCGTTAATCTAGATGTTTGCTTTTCTGGCTTCTTGTCAGTTTTTCTCTGCTGCGTTTTAACATCAAACTCAACTCTGTAGCTCAATTTTGGTTGTACTGTGCTTTTTTCTTGGCAGCAAAATTAATCATCTTTGACATTGCGGGAACAATCAATATGATTTGTAGTCCATCTTCGGTTCTGTCATGTTTGTCAGGCATAAGTTGTTTGTCTACTTTGTTTGTCTAAAGCCAAATTTGGCCAGAAAAAAAAAAACAGTAGCTGTGGAGTCCCTCCCTTCTGGACCATCTGGAGCTGAACAACCCACAGGCATTTGTTTATCTCATGTTCAATTTACACGCCGTGTGTGGAAGAAGCCATAGCAGTGCAAACACAAGGTTCAACAAGCATCTCTAAAAGAATATTCAGTCAGAATATATTTCCAGGTTTGACAAAAACATGATGACAAACTACCGGTTTAATTACTACATCAATTACAGCATGCATGTTTATGTGACGCCAGCCACATCTTCCTAACACTGCAACCTTACATTACTACTGTGCTTTCTGTAATCATAATACTGCTACCAGGAGAGGAAAAAACACACAGTTCTAGACAGATGTGGGCTTGAAAATGGCATGCCACATGTGCACAAGCAGGATGAGGGCAAGGCAACCAATGCACAAGAAGAACATTGATAGCTGTGGAGTTGACACACATACCTTGAGACATTAAGTGTAAAATCTCTCAGTGTACCTGGTGAAGTTGTCCTGACTTTGAGCCTCAGTCCATCCCAGCGTCAGAATGACAAGAAGGCACACAATCCACACCCTGTCCTCCATCCTGCTGTCCTCAGAGGTTAGGGAAAGCAAGAGAGGAGAAAAGGAGGAAGGAGGCAAAATCAGAGTAGGGGCGTGGAGAGAAGCAAGGTTGAAAAGGAGGAGGGAGGAGGGAGGAGAGGAAGAGGAGCGATGGGTGAGGAGGAGGAGGTGTGTTATGGAAGGAAGGAGAAGAAAGGAAAGGGGGAATAAATGTGTTTTTGGAGAGGACAGAAGGCTGTTTGATACAGGTTAACAAGGACAACATTAATTACACTAACCCATGGCCAAAAGCAACGTATACTATGTACAGTTCAGAGTACAGTGGGCTTGTTATGCTCCTGCTCTGTGTTGTTGTTTAACTGGGAAATGGAATATATGGGAAGTATGTTTCTGCAGGTGTGTGCTGATGGACAGAGTACCACTGTTTAGTGTGTGTGTGTTTAAGTATTCACTGCACCTATTCACAAGCATCTGCATGTCAGTCTGTCGGTCTGTCGGTCTGTCGGTCTGTCGGTCTGTCGGTCTGTCGGTCTGTCGGTTGGTTGGTTGGTTGGTCTGTCGGTTGGTTGGTTGGCTGGTCTGTCGGTTGGTTGGTTGGTCTGTCGGTTGGTTGGTTGGCTGGTCTGTCGGTTGGTTGGTTGGTCTGTCGGTTGGTCGGTCGGTTGGTTGGTCGGTCGGTTGGTCGGTCGGTTGGTCGGTCGGTCTGTCGGTTGGTTGGTTGGTTGGTCTGTCGGTTGGTTGGTTGGCTGGTCTGTCGGTTGGTTGGTTGGTCTGTCGGTTGGTTGGTTGGTCTGTCGGTTGGTTGGCTGGTCTGTCGGTTGGTTGGTTGGTCTGTCGGTTGGTCGGTCGGTTGGTTGGTCGGTCGGTTGGTCGGTCGGTCGGTCGGTCGGTCGGTCGGTCGGTCGGTCGGTCGGTCGGTCCACCACTTGGGTCCATACAGATATATCACAAAAACCACTGGATGGTTTGTCGTAAAAATGTGCACAGATATTCATGGTCCCCAGAGGACGAATCTTAATGAGTTTGTGGGTCCTCTGACCTTGCCTCTAGTGTCAGAATTTCCTCTTATCCTATGAAATATACTGTATATCTACTCAAGTAGGCCTATGGATTGGCAAGATCTTGAACGTTCATGGTCCTGAAAAGATTAATCCTACGGTGTTAAAACCATAGACTGTATATATAGGTTAAAACACAACGCAATACAAGACATTTCTGATGTAGACTGTGTGTAAGAAGTGGACATAGTCATTGTGATGTCACTTATTGGTTTTGTACAATGATGGCACCCGCCATATTGGTTTTTCGCCATCGCCATCTTGTTTTTTGCAAACAGAAACAACAAAAGAGGGTACAGCTTATAATGGAGCGCTAAGAAAAATCTTGAATGGACTAAAACTGAATCCCACTATGAAAGGGTTAAAGTTGTAAGAAAAAGCCGTAAATAACTCAAACCACAGATTGTAACAAATTGTCAATCACAATTTTTTGAAAATTATGTGAAGTGACATTTTTGTTGCTTCGTTTGAATACAGCTAGACTTTGGAGTTCCTCTCAATTTTCCTCAAGTGCCACCACAATGAGGTTGGCATTTCTAGTTTTGCCATGACATTTGTTACATTCATGCACCCCCTTATAAAATGTCAGGAGATCATTACAAGTTTGCTTACGTGTCACATCCTGTCAGTGGCCGACTGTCTTGTGTGTTTTTCTCTCTATTTAAAATTGTTATTGCTAGCGTAGTTGTTGCCCCCTTGGATTCATTATTTAAACTGAACTTTTAATTTGTCTGTGATGCAGATACTTAGTGATAAAACCAAAGACATTCCTATCAGTCTGAGCTGCTTTGTGTTACCTATTAGATGCTGAAAACCATTGCCAGCACATGGGGAGTTAATTTGAAGCCAATTAAAATACTGCTTTTTGAAAGCTACCTTGGGAAATAAACCCCATTTACTCTGCAATTGAGGGTTATTATGTTGATTATATTCCTTTCACAGTAGTGGAAATTCAGTGCAGTTGGCTTGTATAGTAAACATGAAAGACATTTTCTGAATCCTACTGCGTGTTGTATCTTGTTGGAAGTTGTTTTATTTTAGACTTTAAGTGAGCTAGTTTATTAACATCAGCTCTCTCACAAAATGACCCACGTACATCACAATAATTTCTTTCATTGTCATAATGATGAAGTGAACGAGGGCATGTCTTTGTCTTTTTTAAGCTGCGGTGACCACTCTGGGTAGAAACCACAGCTGAATAGAGGGAGACTGTGGTTCGCTGAGGAAAGCAGCAGCCATGATCCGCTCTCTGCTTCCAGTTCATTCAGGACATATCCAGGCCAACGGCAACAAAACACCCAACGACTGAAATAGACTGCAAAGAGATGTAATCATAAAACAAAAACTGCAGTAAAAAAATAAATAAAAATCTTTACATTTTAAAGGATTTTCCAGTCGTTTTATTGTCTTTTTTCGTACAAAGAATTTCACAAAAATATTTAGAAACTCTTGCGGACACCACTGACTGAAGCAAAAAGGATATCACATGACCAGAACAGTGTCACAGAGAGAGCGATAGGGACAGAGAGGAAAAAACATAGTTAACATTCCAATCTCTCGAGACTTTTTAGAGAGAAACGTCGTCCACCTCTTTCCTATCTTCTTACCACCGTGTGCAAGCGCTTGCTACACAGGAACTCTCCCTTTCCAGGATTCAGAGCTCCTTTTAGGAAATACTGTCATCATTTCTCAGAGAGATATTGTCCATTTCTCACTGTGGGGATGTCACCCCAATGCACATACTAATACCCGGCCGAGGAGAGACCTTAAAGTCCAAGTCAGTCACACATTGCCACGCTGTCCCACACATTCACTCGAGGAGGAAAGCAACAAGTGTCACAAGAAACACCATCTCTGTTTGAAGACTGAACAGGACACACTCTTTAAGACATTTATCCTATCACAATTCGCAGTGGCAAATAGTATAAAAATATACACATTGTTTACAAAATACACTGGTTGTCGCTCTATATTTTTTTCAAGGCCAACTTTTTACATAAAAAAATGGGACAAAATGAACTCTTTGAGTGAAACAGGATTGGATTAGGATTCCAGACCACCTGGAAAACATTCAACAAGAAGAAAAGTCTCAGAGAGCTCCCTTCTTTTCAGTCGAGGGCATCTATACATAAGGCGCCTTTTTGATACACATTCATCCATGTCCTTTCTGACTATTTTACAGCTTAAATAAATATGTCAAGATCAAGGAAAGTGCTCATGTCCTGTGGTTCCCAAGGCATTGTAATATGCAGTCTTGCGACGTGCGTGTTGTGCTGTCATCTTCATGAAGAATGAACTAGTGTCCTGTCCAGCAATAACGGAAGTTGTCTCGATCAGTGTGCACCTTTTTCTCCTCCCATTTGAACAACTTAACTCTGTGTAGTGATTTTTTTTATTTGGGCACAGGAAGTTCGGGAAGGTGCATGTCTTCTGCACATCGGCGCGGAAACGTCTTGATAGTGTTCATCATCTTTGGCCACCTCCTCAGTGAGTCATTTGAGACCTTTCTTTCACAGCTTCTGAGGCCGCTCTCGGCGCCTCGGCTGTCATCTCCTGATTTCTGGCTTGCGTTTTGGTTCTTTTCTCTTCTTCCTCTGGGTGAGCTTCATCCATGGCTGTCTCTGAAGGAACTGTAATGCCCTTGCCGGCACCATCTCCTTAAGCTTTTAGCACGCTGCACATCTCCATCTCGTGAATCACAACATCGAACGGAGCCGTGCGAGGCTCAGAAGGGGGGGACTTGCAGCCTGTACAGCCCTACAAGAAAGACAGAAAGACATTGTTACCAATCATTTCTACATGGTGTTGTATCCAAACACTACTGTCTAGCTCAGGGTTGTGTGCTTACAGAGATGTTGATGGCTCGGGGCAGGCGTCCTGTGCGGATCCAGGGGTGAACCTGGCACAGCTCCCTCTTCTGGTCCTCGCTGAAGCGTGGCTGCTGTTTCTGCATGTTCCTCAACGCCTCGCGGTCTTCTCGCAGCACAGTCTCAATGTCTCTGTTGAACGGGAACAAAGAAAAAGAGTCAATATAAGTCAGTGTATTAAATCACAGCAGGTGTCAAACTGTGAATAAGCTGTTGAGTTTGGGCACATTTTGCCCAGCGTCGTACCTGACAGGCAGCTGATAGTTCATCATGACCTTGTGGTCGGTGTTGGCCATCAGGAGCCAGATGGGGTCCTGCAGGACACACTTGATGAACTGCTCCTCTCCACCATCTCCACCCGCACTGCTGCTGCCCCCTGCTGGCTGCTTGCGGGAATGATCGTTCTCTGACGAGTCGATGCTACCAAAGTACTTGCTGGTGTGGCTGCCCTGGCTGCTGCCTGAATGGAGAAAAACGGAGTACACTAGTCAACAAAATCATTTTCGTTTGCAGTACATGCTTTAAACCATGCATTCTGAAACTTTTACATCTATTTTGGTAACCTCTGAGATGGTACATTAAGACTACTCACTCATGCCACTGGTGCCAAAAGAGCTGCAGCCGTTGGAGCCGGTACCAGAGCCTGAGCGAGCGTCTTCCTGTGGCAGCATGTCCAGCAGGTCGCTGGAGGTGGACATGGCATCGTTGTTGGACTCATTAGCCTCACCCTAATGGGGAAGAAAAGGTTAGAACAAATATTCCACGACACAATTGAAATGATATCATATGCAAAGGTTTCTAAAGCCTATAGTGTCCTTACATTCTCATTCTCCTTGGAAGTTTCATCAGAGCTCCTCTGATTGGCTAAGCTCTGACCGGTCGTTGCCCCCTGAACAGAGGGCGGGGCTTGCTGTGATGCTGCCAGCGCCGTGGCGACCTCCAGCCGGTTGCTCGTTGTTTCGTCCAGCTGCAACAGGTTGAGAGGCGAGGAGCATCTGGACTGGAAGAGGGGGGACTCTGGGGGGATCTGGCTGTAGGACTGGGGGGTGCTGCTGTGGGACGGGGCGCAGGTGACTGGGATTGGCACTGAGTTGGA